GGGGCCGGCGGCTGGGGGCGGCCGTGCACAGCATGGGCGGCCCGCGGGCCTGGGCGCTGCTCTGCCTCGGACTGCTGCTCCCAGGAGGCGGCGCCGCGTGGTCAGTCGGAGGCACCCCGTTTTCTGGACGCAGGTAAGGGCTCCCCGAACCCTGTGCCTAGCAGGCCAGCGCGAGAGTCGGGAGTCTGGGCACACACACCCCACCACTTCCATGCACTCTCAGGTTTAGGAAGACGACCTGCGTCCTCAGTGCCAGATTGGTTTGAGACAGGGACCTGAGCCACCCATCTACTTGGCCATCTGGCCAAGGCTGTTCGGATTCCAGAGTCCACCGATGTGTCTGGAGCTTGCAGCGGCCCCTACTTCCTCTCCTTCAGCCCCAGTTTACTACAGGGGGAGGAATGAAAGGACTTGTCACTCCAGGCCCAAGGACCCCACCCCCTGCATATGGAAAACGTCCAGCACACCCCTTAACAACACTTGGGGGACTTTCTCCCCTTTTCCTTGCTCCCTGATTTTTTTTTTCTTTTAATACCCTGGCTATTTATGACCCGTAGAGGAAGGACTGGGGTGGAGACTCAGCCCAGTGGGTCAGTGTTAGAGGTTCTCCAGGGGCCTGGCATTTCCACAGACAGGGACAGAGCACTTGATTTCTCTGATGCTCTTCTAACAGCTAGGAACATTATTTCTGCCAGACTTTATGGAGTGTCTCCCGGGATCTGGTGCTGTGGAAAAGCCCCTTTTTAGGCAGGGTTATCTTTAAGACTGAAGAAGATAGAGAAAAGTGCCCCCACTCAACAGATAAGCAGACTGAGACCAGAAAAATGACATGCTCATCCAGGCACATGAGCTTGCAAAGCTGGATTCAAATCTGTCTTTCTGGCTTTGGTGACAGTGTTTGAACCTGCTCCAGCCCCTGGTTGGCCTGCAGCCCCTGCCCAGGTCCACTTGGGAGGACCAGCCCCCTTTGTCCAAGGCAGACAATGTGGACTAGCTAGGCCCCTTCAGGGCTTTTCATCCTGTTCAAAGGCCAGCCTGACTCCCGCCTCCTGAGGCCTCACTTCTTTAATTCTTTTCAAAAATTCCTCTTTCTCAATGGTAAGGGGCCAGCATGCCTCTGTTGGACTAGCAAAAGCAGGTGATATGGACAGGCCTAGAGGAGCTGGCCCAGCATCAGAGGCCAAAAGAGCAGTTTTCTGACACAGAGCCATCACCTACTATGTGCTGGCCAGCGCTGGCTTGGATTAGGCACTTTTTCTGCATCCCTGACCTCCAGAATCTTTGCACCTTCCATTTGAGCCGTGCTTTTTTAAATCCCTATTTCATAGAGCAGAAAGCCAGAGTGCTGCAAGGGATATGATCTGCCCAGTGCAGGAGTGTGTGACCTCAGGGGTGCCACGATAGACTTCCCAGTCAGTCTCATGGTGAGGATGCAAAGAGTATAAGCGCTGGCCTTCCCTGCAGCCCGTCTAGGCCTGGCTTCCCAAGCTGGGCTCCTTTCACCCACAGTCCCCTGGGTAGGAACAGAACTGTAAATGTGGGCAGGTATCCAGTAGTCTTCCCTGGGGACTGACGTCTCATCTGTTAACACAGGCTATCACAGTGGCCTGAATGTCACAAAAGCTATGTTGTCACTGTTCTTCCTCCTGTTTTATAGATAACGAGACAGGGGCCTAGATAGGAGAAGAGGCAGTACAACCCCAGCCAAGAAGTTTGCAAAAACCTCTTCCTCCCCCAACAGTCCTCCACATTAGGAAAAGAAGTTGTCCGCTTGGGGGGCTCAGAAAGTTTAGAGGTCATAAATGGGCACTTAGAGCTCTGCCTTGGCACACAACAACGTTTTATTCCTGACCGTCACTGTGGTACAACCTCAAGCAGGTCACTTTGTGGCTACGAGTCTCAGTTTCCCGCTTTGTTTTTCTCACTCCTGCTTGCACAGTCTGTTCTGAGAGTGTACAGCCCCCCGGAGGGACCAGCGCAGAACCTCTCCTACTCTCCTACTGCAGCTTCTGCTGTCACCAGCATTCAGTGGGGGGAGGGACCTGGATCCAGAGGAGCCAATCAGTGGTCCTAGGCTGCCAGGACCTCCCCTTATGGCCCTGTCCCAGCATCAGTGGAGACAGCATGGGGATGTCACGCCCCATCAGCCCTCCTTCCACCCCCAGCCAGGCGCCCCAGGCACCCCTTGGCAGCCAAGGGACCAAAGGCAGAAAAGGCCTTTGTCCCTGGGCAGGGGGAGGCCCGGGAAGGCATCCAAGGGGCCTCCTCCAGCCACAGGAATGTGGTGAGACTTTGAGATTCCCCCAACCAGGGTGCCCCTGGTTATCTGGAGCCCACTGGCTCATCCTTGCCCCCTCCAAAGCCCTAGTCCCTGATCCAGCTGTTTCCTGCCCCTCTGAGACCCCCTTCCTGCCCCTCAGCCGGAATCCCAATTTTTAAAAAAAATCTGGTCACAGTGGCTCTAGAATTGGAGCAGTCACCATCATTGTCACTGTTGCTCAAGCCTCTAACCCCTGCCATCCTGGCTTCCTTTGGGCAAATCCAAGGGTGGATGGGTAGAGAGTTCTAACAGAATGACATCTGCCCGGCCCCTCTCCAGGTTCAGATCCCAGCTCATAGAAACCAGGCAGGTGCCTTCTCTTGGAGCTCCAGTCTCCCGCTCAGCAAACTGCAGAGCCTGACTAGCTGTCCTCGTGAACAAGGGACTGAGCTGGTATCCTCAAGCCAAAGGGAAGCCCACGGGTCACAGCTGCCAGCTGTGGGGCTCATGTCTGACGGTGGCATCACACCCCAGGAGCAAGAATTAACAATCACACGAGGACCGTGTTAAGTGAGCGCTTTGCATGGACCCTCCCTCTGGAGGCGATGGTGCCCTCCCCATCTGCAGATGGACAAAGTGAGATCAGGCAGGGTCAGGGCCTTGCCCGAGGCCACCAGCGCAAGGTGCCACAGAGTCAGGACTGGAGCTGCACCCCCAGTGTGGGGTTCTGGCTCTTGTCACCCCGCCCCCTTCCTCCTGTCTCTGTTCTTTCCTCTCCTTTCATAAGGGCCCTTGGCTCCAGGCCCGCTTGGCTGCCTCCTGCAATTAGCCCCTATCACTGTTCCGGATCGCAGCCCTGGGCCCAGTGGAGACAAAGTCCCTGGGCCCTTGTGGCAGGGCGTAGAGGCTGGTGTGTATGGGGAGGGGGGATGAGGACATGGGGGTGACCTGTGCCAGGCTGAGCTGGTCCATCCTGTTTTCCCTTCTCCCAGAGTTCTCTGGAGGCCTGGGAGGAGCTGAGTGGGCAGAAGTGGGCAGGAAGTGGAGGAACGAGCTGTGTGCTCCCAGCCCCTGCCCTTGCCTCATCTCACCCTCCAACTTCAGCTGGTTCCTGGGTGGCTTATTGCTGCTCATACCCCAGGGAAGGAGGCCACCAGGGCGGCAGGAATGGAGGCTGGTCTCCAAGTACACATCTGTGTCTGGGAACCTAAGGCTTTAATTCAGATGCCCAGCGCCAGTGTTTTCTCTCATTCACTCATTCAATAAACACCCCTGAGCTCCTGTGAAATGGCCCCTGTACTGACCAAGTCCCCGGCCTGAGCACCAGGCTCTTGGGTGACTAATTGCTGCTTGTACCCCAGGGAAAGAGGTCCCCGAGGGAACAGAGATAAAAACAGGTATCTAGGTACCGTGTCCACTTCTGAGACCCTCAGGTTCTACTCCATCTGCCCAGGGCAGATCTTGGTCATTCAGTCCCTCGGCAGACATCCCTGAGCACCTGTGACCTATTCCTGATCTCTGAACAGGCCCTCCCTTTAGAACCTATAAAGCTTAGAATGACTGCAAATGGCTGAGGTGGCCCCTTGGGCTAATCCAGTCCTTCGAGAACCTCAGGTTGATAGGATTTTGCCAAGGCAAAGGGGCAGTCTTCACAGAGGAATCCCCAGTGGCAAATATGAGAGGGGAGAGAAAGGACAGCATGAGTGTGTGGTGGGTGTGAACAGCACATAGGATGAAGGGTGGAGGAAGCAGGGTTTGAGTGCAATGGGGAGCCATGGTGGACTTGAGATTCCATAGCAGGTGCAGGTAACATTAGGCCATGCTTTATGCAAAGCCTTCTTGAACCCTTGGACTGCGGACAGAGGGGTGTGACCCTGCAGATGAGCTTGGACTTACTCTGGGAGTGAATGGGGTATGTCCTCAAAGCTGGCATGGGAGAGGTAACTGATGACCTCCAGGTGGAGGGATTGGCAGGCTGACCTAGAGCTTGACTTGGCTTGAGTGTCTCTGGCTGTTTAAAAGATCTGGCCACCCCGCCCACAGCTCCCTGTCTCTCCAAAGCAGGGGTTTCAAGCAAAGCCATGCTTGTGGGAAATAAACCAGGGGATCAGGCTGGGACCTTCATTGGAGAGATTTTAATTAAAGAAGAAGGAAAAAATCATTTTCTTGTCATCCCAATCACAGGTAAAAAGGACAGCTCAGGGAACTGTGGACAGTGGCAGGCCTTCCTATCCTAGTCCAGGGGCTGGGTGTGGGGAATCTGCACATTGGGTGTTGACCTGTGTGCCAAGGAGAGAATCGGCATTCTGTGTTCTGCTTGGCCTGTCTCTGCCAGTTGTTACACATGAGATAGCTGTGTGCCTGTGCACACATGTGCATCTGTGTACATGGATGAAGGTACGTGGCCCTGTATGTGCTTGTGTGGACAATATAGAGGTCACGACCACAGCCCATGTCCACATGAGAAAGCATGTGCGTGCATGTGTGTGTGTGTTCATGTTCACACACATTGCAAGAAAGTTGTGTCTGCAGCTGTCTGTCCTGCTAGATTTACCTTGTCCTGGGTTTGTGTGTGTGTGTGTGTGTGTGTGTGTGTGTGAGTGAGTGTGCGTGTGTGCGTGTGCAGGCTTACATTCATGCATTGTAGGTACATATGCATTTGTGTTTCCATGTATGTTTGTCCCCATATGCCTCTATGTGTCTGCATTTGCACATGAGTGCAGGTTTGTGTGCCTCTACACACTGGTCAGGAAGTGTTCATTCTATGCCCAGAACACCTCTCTATGTGCAGCTTACAGCTTTCCTTGGCCCAAGTTGCTCCATCCCTTGCCCTTTCCTTAACTCAAGGAGAACTGGGTTGGTCTGGGGACTTCATGAAAGCTGCAGGGTACTTCTAAGCCCCTTAAGCTTGTGCACCATGATTTAAGCATTTTGGGGGAAGAGCCACAATTCACATCAAAGTCTCAACTTGTGTCTCAACCCTCCAAACAACACTCCAGTAGGTTCAAAACCACCATTCTAGGAACCCAAGGCTCTATAGAGTAGGAGTCTTTTGTTGCTGCTATTTGAGTTGAGGTCTTACTGTATTGCCCAGCTGGCCTTGAACTCCCAGGTTCTGGCATGCTTCTGCCTCAGCCTCGTTAGTAGTGGGAACGCCTAATGCGTGCAAAGGAGAGCATCAGCACTCTGTGTTCTGCTTGGCCTGTCTCTGCCAGTTGTTACATGTGCGACAGCTGTGTGCCTGTGCATGACATCACACTGAGTTTAGTGTCCTCAAATGAAACCTGCCCTGCCCTGCCCTTCCATGCTCCCCCACAGTCCATGCCCAGCCCTCAAGGCTGCTATGCCCACCCCTACCACGGGTCCCTCCCTTCCAGACTTTGCTTTCCCTGAGCCCAATGCCTGGAGCGTGCTTCCTTCCCTTCTCCATGTGCCATACCCTACCTTCAAAGCCCATTGTGCCTTTTCCTCCATCCTTTTCCCATGTCCACCCCGTGAGCAGATCCAGTGGCTCCCCATCCTGGATCCTGCGGCTTCTTTTGAACACCTGTCATGCAGAATAAGGTGGTAATCTATGCCTGGCCCCTTCTACTGGTATGTGAAAGGACAGAACCTGTCTCCCCAATCTTTGCATTCACTCTGTGGGACTCCAGGGCACACAACAGGTGTAGTGTCCTAGCTTAGAGGACAAGTGTCTTCAAATGACAGCTAAAACCAGGTTGCATGACACATGGAGAGCACCTACTGCATGCTAAGAGTATTTACATCATTCTTCTCTGGTGAGCCAGAAAAACACTTCGTCATTTCTTAGATGGGACTCTAAGGCTTGGGAAGGTGAGCTGTATTAGAGTCCAGGAACATGGACAGGCTGGCCTAGCCTCTGACTCCTGCCCAGAAAATTCAGTTCCCATCTCCTTTCCATCTCACCAAGCCATGGTCTGTGGCTCTGTGAAGGTGCCAGCCTGGGAACCTGCTGACCCTGGGCTCAAGGTCATGAAGGAAGGTCTGGTGGTGTGGGGGAGCCCCAGCTAGGAAAGGTCACCTGAAACCATCCCTCCATCCTGGCCCCAGCCAAGAACACAGGGCCTGTGACCCCGTGCGGGGCTGAGGGCTGCTGAACACCTGGAATGTTCCGGCCATCACAGAGCCTCTTAGTCCCACTGCAGTGCAATTCCCGAGCTGCTGCCCTCCTCCCCCCAGCTCATCAGAAAGAAAAACTCCTAGGCTGGAACCCGAATGTAAGGACAGTGGGACCGTGCGGAAGTCCCTCAGTCTCTCTAGGCCACTAGAATCAAGCCAGGAGGAAAATAAGCCTGGGCAAAGGCTGGGGCTGGGGGGCGGTAAAAGTGGCAGAGGGAACAGTTCAGTATGGCCCATGAAGCAGCAAGAGGTCAATAGGGTTCTTAGCCAGCCAACCATGACACAGGTGACAGGTGCTTACTGTCACACTACTGGAAGCAGCTCAAAACTAGGAACAGCCTACATAGCTGTGGGACCACCAGGCATACGCTGTAACAGAACCCAGTGTCTGTGTGCTGGCCTGACAGCCAGGTGTCACATTTGGTTGGGGAGGGGCTTAGACCAAGAGTTACAGAACAGCTACCTTTCTATTAACATGAAAGAGGGAGGGGAAGAAGCAGAGATAGAAAGCTGAAGCAGACAACTGTACTTAGAGAAAAAAAAATTACATTGTCATGAAACTGCCACCTCTTGGAGCAAGGAGAGCTATCTGTCCCTCAGTTCTGTCCATTGTTGGCACTACAGCAGACTCTGTTCTTTATTCCATTCTCACCAGGATCTGTGTCTAGGCCTTGCACATATTGGCACATTTGAATTTTCCCACCCTATTAGGAGTGCCATTTCACAGTTGGGAAGACTGAGGCTTTCATGTCTAGGACCTATCCAGAACATTCATGATTTGATGCTCAACATAGGTCTGTTTGAAACCAGTTTTCCCCTTTAACCCCAGGCTGGAAATGATGGTCCTAATGAGTAGTGGAGGGTTTTGTAAGTTTTAAAGATGTATTTCTGGGATCTATCTTCCAGAGGCCTCAGACAGGCAGAGTAGGAGGTAGGAAAAAATGGTGGGTTAGGTGGGGCAAGGTTGGAAGGAAGAGAGATTGGGGTGGATGGCCCTGGTAAGGAGGTACTGACCCCTGCAATTCACCCCTAAAGGCTTCCTGAGAGCCCCCTGCTTGGCCACCTTCTCTAGGATCATAGAATTCACCTGAGTCACAGGCTGTACAGATTATACCAAAAAGGGGCAAAGAACACTGAAAGCCCAAGGGTCTCTCTAACTCGGGACTTGGGGCTGCTGGGAGGACTCAGATCATCTCACCCATCCTCCCAGAGCACTTGGTAGGGGGCTGCACCTGACACCTAAACCTCCTCACTTTGCATCTGTTTCAGGAACTGGTGCTCATATGTGGTAACCCGTACCGTCTCATGCCATGTGCAAAATGGAACATACCTTCAGCGCGTACTGCAGAACTGCCCCTGGCCCATGAGCTGCCCAGGCAGCAGGTATGTGAGCCATGGTGGAGGAGGCTTTCCTGGTAGTAGAGTTGCCTAGGGATAAAGGCTGGGCCCCCAGGAGAGGCAGCATTGTATCAGAAGGAAACCCCCAAGGGCTTCCTGAGGGAGAAAGGGAGAAAGGAAAGTCCTGCTACAGAGCAGCGTATACCTGTATTCCTTCTCTTGGTGAGTATCACTGCCAGGCACCAGCCAGCCCAGCCTTCAGGTGGTTTCCAGAACCTATGAGCTGAAATCCTAGACTACAGGAAGAGAGGGATCGCAGAGGGGCTTGAAGGTAGCAGAGGCTCCGGCGGGCTCTTCCCCGTGGACATTGAGGACAGTAAGAAAGGTGGTAGAAGACCTTGTCTGAACTGGACACATTTTCAGCTACAGAACCGTGGTGCGACCCACATACAAGGTGATGTACAAGACAGTGACCACCCGTGAGTGGAGATGCTGCCCTGGGCACTCGGGAGTGAGCTGCGAGGAAGGTAGGATGTTTGGCTATTGCATGAATCCTTGTGATGGTGGGTCAGGCACCTGCTGCCCAGCACGTGCACAGTACCATGCATACAGGAGCCCACTGCACAGACCTGCTAGGCATGGTGGACCTCAGATGCAGTCAGGACCTGCTGTTCCCTCATGGTTGCCACTTGCTTCTCAGAGATACCCATAACCTTAGGAAATATTTCCTACTTGTTCAACTGCTCACATGTGAAGTCACACCATCCTAATGTGTTCTGTTAGTTACCTGGCACTATAACAAAATACCTGAGATTAAAAAAAAAACTTAACACAGCAAAAAAGGTTTATTTGGCTGACATTTCATTTGGTCTATAATTGTTTGGCTGTGCAGGTTTGGACCTGTGGCAAGGTACCACATCTTACATGGAGCCTATTTTGTGGCCAGGAAAAAAACAAAAAGGACAGTGAGCCACAGTCCCTTAGTGCCCTTGGGGGTAGACATGTGCCCAGTGAACCAAAGACTTCGCTTTAGGCCTCACCTCTTAAAGGTACCACCACCTCCTAAGAGCACCTACCCAGGGAACAAGCCTTTTATCAACATGACTTTTTGAGACATCATAGACCCAAACACTGACACCTGGGGAACCCTCTGGATGTTTCCATGGGGCATGGTAACAAAACACATGAAAGCAGAGGTCAGTCACCTTAGTGGTCAGAGAGTAGAGATGGTGGGGTTCACTTCGCAGGTGATGCACTACTATGTGGCAGTGGCACTATTCAAGCCCTGTCTGCCTAACTCCGTTTACTCAAGGCCTGGTACCCAGTGAGGCCTCCCTGGAGCCTGGGCTCCCTCTTCCCTGGGAGTCCATCCATTCTTTGCCAAACTTGACAGCCATCTGGGCCACTGTGACTCTCACTGCCTGGCTGATCCCACAAGTGGCAGATCCGGGGCACCAGGAGCTGAGCGCACAGAACAGTCCTAAAGGGACTGAGCTGACTGGAACCAACCTGAGAAGCTGACCCACAGGCACCTCCTGGACAGAGGCACTCAGGGGCACAAGCAGCCAGGAATGAGACTGTCAGTAACAGGGTGTACCCTGGTTCCAGAAGCAGGGACATGGGAAAATGTGGCCTTCTGAGACAAAGAATCTTGGTGCTAGCAGAAGGCGCTGCTTCTAGCTTATTTTAGGACTTACAACAGCCCGCTTTACAGATGGGACAGCTGAGGCACAGAGGCAGAGTCAAGGGCCCAGAGTGACACAGGATTAGGTGGGGGACAGAACTCACCAAGAAGTGGGGAAGGGAGGGCTCTGGGAGTTCTGATATGGAAAAGAGTCTCCAGTAGAGCTCAGGAACCAGATGACTGGAAGGAAAGGGGCGTCCTTGTGCCAAGCAGCCCAGCAGAGAGGCAGCCGTGGTGTTGTATGAGAAGCTGGGAGCCTGAAGCAGCACCCTGTCCTCCCTGGTGGAGAGGAGGCAGAGGACTAAGGGGCGAGGGGAGGACAGCCAGTCAGGAGGAGTGGCTGCCAAGGAGGCCCAGGGGAGCCATGGGTGACCCCCAGGTGTGGGGCCCAGCCAGAGGCTCCTCTGTCCCTAGGGACAGCCCAGTCTCTCAGGCCCTCAGGAAGTGTGGCCTTGGATCCAGCTGCTGGAGCCCACGTGTCCAGGGCCTGTGCTGAGAGCCTGGGGCTCTGCCACTGGTGAGGCAGGGGCAGGGCTGGGCCGGGCCAACCCTGAAGGCTGCTGGCTCCCTCTGCAGGGCCTTCACATCCCAGCCTGAGGACAGGTTAGCCAGGACTTCATGGGCTGGGCCAGCTCTGCCACACACTAGCTGTGTGACCTTGGGCTGGGGACCCCCCCGTGTATCCTACCAGTGCTGGTGCAGGAGCAGTGGGCCAGGCCCCCGCAGCCCAGGCAGCGTTCTTCCCATGCCCACTTGGAGGGAGGGTGCCAAGCTACCATGTGCACTGTGATAGACCGAGGGTCCCTGGTCCTCAACCTGTGAAGTAGGCCTGTAATTAGAATGGTGCTCAGCGCTGCCACTGGTATGAGATGAAGCAATGAGGACTCCTCAGGTGCCAGAGCAGCCCACAGTGGACACTGTGTGGAGACTGATGGGATAGGAAGGGTTGGAGGGATGGAGTGAAGGAAAGGGGGGTGGTGACCAGATGCCCAGACCTGAATATTCTAGAGAACTTCGCTGCTGAGGCCTGAGTTGGGGAGTTGGGAGACATGGGAACATTGCCAGCCCATTCAGGGCTTTGCCCTCCCTCTCACAGTTGACTTCAGCCTGGGCTCTATCCAGTTTCCCTGGCCGGTGCCTGCCTTATGGCATGTCTGTTACTGTGACCTTAGCTCGGGGCCTCAGAGCTGCACCACCTGGGTGAGGGTGGCTAGAGCAGCACGGGGAGCCACAAGTAAGCAGGAACCCCTGTGGTTCCAAAATCTAATCCTATCAGTTAGTTGCACTGTGTTGTCTGACTTGGGGCAACTCATTTCACCTCTCTAAACTTTGGCTTTGTGTGCCCGCCACCTGGGAGTCAAAAGTGGGCAGTCATGCTGGGCATGGTGGCGCACGCCTGTAGACCCAGCACTTGCAGGCTGAGGCAGGAGTATTGTCCTGGGTTTGAAGCCAGCCTGTGCTACATACCGAGACTCTGAGTCAAAGAAACAAAAGTGGGTAGTTGTGACTGAGTCACGGTAGATGCACCATGAGTGTCTTCCTCTTCCCTTCCCCCTCATGCTAGGGGTTCTGCTGACCCGGCAGAGACAGCCCCGCCTCCCACCTCTGAGATCAGCTCCTCTGTTAGCTGCTCAACAAACAGACCTTGGACCTCCAGACTTTATGTTCATGAGACTCGTGGAAGCCAGTCAGGACCTCACTACCCTCAATATGGGGGTGCTCACTCTGTGACAGTGAGGGAGGACAGTCTCAGTGCAGGTTCACGACCACCTATGGGCCAGAAGTATGATGGGCCCCATCATACGTACAGAGAAACTGAGGCTCAGCGGGGTAAGCAAACTGGCTTGGGGTCACTCAGCATATCAGAGCCAGTATTGAGACCCTTAACAGGAGGGCTGAGGCTCTTACCCGGCCACCTACTCATAGAAACAGTGGGCCTCGTCAGAAACAATGGATGAGAAAAAACCAAATCTACACTGTCCCTTGCAGGAGGGGCAGGCAGGGGGCTGGCACAGTGCCAAGGCTGTGGCAGCAGGATGGGACAGCTTCACAACCATCTTTCCTAGGCCCAGGCCTGAGTCCTGAGTGCCCTGGGCTGGTGGGCTCTGCTAAGGGTAGGGCTGCCTTGCCACCCCCGTGGTAACCCTGCTTCTTGGGGTTCTGTGCAGACAGATCTCTTGCCCGTTTGCCCCATTGTCCACACAGCACCTAAACATTTCAGCCAAGTTCCCTCAGGGCTCTGACCTGAGGTCTGTGCTATCTCCCTGCCCTGGACCCACCCATGTAATAATGACAAGGGCAAGGACAGCTGCCCCCAGCCTCTGTCCTGTGCTGTACAATGCTGACCCACCTGCATGGGGCCAGCACATCATGGCACAGAATGTCCAGACAAGAAAGTGAGGCTCAGAGAGGGAGAATTGGTCCTCGTGGTATAAGCACCAGCCTGAGGAGCTGGATTCAGGCAGGCCACCCTGACGGTGAAATCAGGGGTCTTTCCTCTGCACTGGTCTGTCTGAAAACATCCCAGGCAGTGTGTCAGCCTGTCTCAGCTCCACTAGAAGCAGGGATCAGGGCCCACCCTCTTATCTTCATGGGCCCCAGGAGGCAGGCTGCCTGTGTTTCCCCTTAACCAGTCCACTTTTCTCAGCCTAAGTGTCCCTTTCCCATCCAGGGACCCCCCACAGCCCTTGTCCTCTGGGATGTTGGCCTGGGATTACACAACCCCAAAGCCACAGAAGGTTCCAGCCAGTGCTTTCACACACACACACACACACACACACACACACACACACACACACACACCATGCATTCAGCTGCCAAGCATGAGCCCGGCCTGCCCTTTGCAGATTCAGAGTCCCAAGGATTATGCTGAACCCGTCATCTGTGCCCACAACTGTCCATCCCTGCTCCCATCTGGGGAGCTCTGCAGTCCCCTACTTCCCTGCCCACCCAGCAAGGATGACTGTCCTGCCCATTGTCCATCACTCCAGCTCTACCTTCCCTCCCTCTTACCCTTTTCCCACCCATGGCCTTGGCAGCTGTTGTCCCTCCTGTCTATCACTTTCTGGGTGCTCCTATCAGCCTCAATTGGCCCCCGCCCTACCCATGTTACTGCCGTAGCTCCAGTGCCTGGCACAGTCTGATATAAGCTAAGGGCACAGGATGAAGGGGAAACCATCCACTACAACGAGGGGCCAGGCCAGACATAGACCAAGTCTTCCCAGAGGCCTCCCGAGCAGGTTTCCTTTCCAGGTGGCTCTGACCCTGGATCAAGTCACCAGCTGGCCAGCAGTAAATATTTACATTTGCAAAGCAAATTCCCACAGAAGACCTGGGCTGGGGCTGGGGCAGCTGCATCCCTGTGGCCTGTAGTCACTGAATTGTGCTGACCCAAAGGTGGAGGGAGTGACATAAACAAGGGACCCTTCCCTTGGCTTCTCTCATGGAGGGAAAAATACAGGGGTGAAGCTCAGGGATTCTCAAACTTCTCACAGCTCCATTTCTAGTTTAGGGCAGGTTAGGCATCCAGTCCCCTACATCCTGCTGTGTAGAGAGCCCAAGCCTGTTTCCTGGGCTTCAGTGTTTTTTGTTTGTTTTGTCTCTCAGTACTGGCGACTCAACATAGGCCCTTCACACTGAACTACATCCCCAGGTTTTCTTTTTAGTTTGAGACAGAGTCTCAATAAGTTGCCCAGGCTGGGTTCAAACTTGTGATTCTCCTGCCTCAGCCTCACAGAGAGCTGGTATTAAAGAGTATACTATTCTGCCTGGCTCTTAATGTCTTCTGTGCCGTGAGATGCCATAGGAATCCAGCAAGAAAGCATGGCACTGGGCAGAAGTGTGGGGCTGCTTTAGGGGGCACAGAACTAGAAACTAAGGAGAGCATTGGCCCTTGGAAGGTCAGGACAGAGTAATGAGAGTGTCAGGGGGGGGCCTTTGGTACTGGTGGGGAAGCCCTGATCTGTCCAGGAAGGCTTCTAAGGAGATGGCATGGGAGCCATAGCTCTAGGGATTGCAGGAGGGCATGGTGCTTGCATGTAGGGTGGTTGGGGGCCCCCCAGATGGTAAGAGGTGGCCTGGGGTAGAGCTTAGGTCTGAGACCTGGGACCAGACAGCAGAGAGGGCAGAGGAGCCCTTCAGGGATGTCCAGGAGCCTCAGATAAGGGGCCTTTCAGGGCTGGGGAGATGGCTCAGTAGAATAGGCACTTGTCTGGCAAGGGGCCTTTCAGCCTGCTACAGCCTTGCTCAGGGCCAGCCAGAGCAGGAGAAATGGAACATGTCTGTCCTACAGAAAAGCAGCCCCCAACCCACAGCTTCTTCCTGACTAGGATTTTGTGTACTTTATGAAGGCTTTTCTTAGAATATGGTTCATCTGTTGCAGTATTTTCTGTCCATTTATCAGACTTTGAGAAAAGTTTGGGGTAATTTTTGTGAATCTTGAATGCAGGATCAACATTTTCCTAGTTATTTCTTGCCTTAATGGTGTTAGGGTTGAGCCCAGGGGCTTTTGCAGCTAGGCAAGCCCTCTCCCACTGAGCTACACTTCTAGCCCTAAGCTTTCTCATAATGGAAATTCACAATTACTATGAGCCCCTTCTATCTGTGTGGCTGGCGTGGCTATGTTTCTGCTCATTTTTCTTGTTCTCTCTGACTCCTCATGAAATATCCAAAACCAAATTGATTGCAAAAGAATTTCCAGCCACAAGCCAACTGTTTAACAACTCAGGGACATCCACACATGACATTAGAACATTTATGGTCCTTTTCAAGATATTTGTGTCTGCCATCCACATTATTTTGCCTTTTATTTCTTTTGCTTGATTGAAATTTATTTTCAGCCCTTGCTTTGTGTGTTCATAAACAGAACTTGTATTGTAGCCCTTGAGGATGCACAAGACAGGCAAAGTCCCTGTCCTGGTGAGGCCAGTGTCCCACCCAGGAGTAAGAGAAGAGGCAGTCAGCTGAAAAACTGCTCCAGTCAGTAACACGTCATGGGGAGGAAAATGCTGTTAAAAAAGGGGGGGGGGAGAGAGAGGGAGAGAGAGAGAGAGAGAGAGAGAGAGAGAGAGAGAGAGAGAGAGAGAGAAAGGGAGGCAAGGAGGGAAGGAGGGAGACCCCGGGGAGATGGTTCAGTGGAATAAGCGCTTCCCTGGCAAGCTCAAGAGCCTGAGTTCAATCACCTGTTCTGAGAAAAAAAGAAAGAAAGAACTTCTAGTACACATGTATGCCTGCATTCAGTGTTTGGGCTAGATCACTTGTAGTGGTAGGGCACTTGCCTAGCATGTGTGAGCCCAGGGTTTGATTCCTCCCATATTGCAAAAACAAAACTATGAGAAAAGAAGCAAGACAGTAGAAGTGTAGCAGGAAGAGCAGGAAGAAGCCAATATCTGCCATCACAAAGAAAACCTAAGTTCACACAGGGCTGGAGTTACAGCCACTGCTTTGGGTCACCACCCTCACACAGTAATAAAACAAACATTTACATCTTCAACTAGGAGCAAAAAACAATTTCTTTCAGGCACCAGAGTCCTGCTGGACCCTGGGTCAGGTGCCTCCACCACAACTCCCAGAAAAGAGATCAAGCCATGGAGTCAGACCCACCTGGGATCAGGTCCCTCCTGGAGAACTTCATGAATATGACTGTGAATGAGTCGCTTTGATTCTCTGCTTTGTTTCCTGATAGGGGAAAGAAGGGTCTCATTCACTCATCCATTCATTGGCACATGGGAGACAACAGAGGAGAGGCGGCACTGTGATGCTTCATGCCACAGTGTTCCCATCTCTTAAGATTATATGACACTAGTACAATTAATAAAACAGACAATATGTATAGTACTTAGAATTTTCAGGAACTGGCTGGAGAGTAGTTGCTAAGCACAAGTTTGCCGTTGTCTCTACCTTCTACATAGGATGGAGCTGGGTTTCGTGAGTCACTAGGCTAGCAAGGGGCATGGGTTACAGTAGCGTCTCCCCTTCCCTGCCACAGTCCTGGGTAGGAAACCCACCTTTCTTCATCCTCAGAAGAGTTCCCTTCTGTACCTGAGCAAGGCACAGGCCCCTGGGGATTATGTGTCAAGGATGCAGCGGAGCCTGAGCAAAGGCCCATGGTGGGTCTGGAACAAGGCCTGGCAGCCTCCCCACTGGGGGCCGGCCAGACGGACCTGTCTGGTTTGAGTTCTTGGCGCCTCACGCTCCCTTCCTCAACCCACAGCCCAAGCTGCCAGGCCTGTGCCTTATTTGGGTCTCATCTCCCCCTGCACACCCCTGCAGACGACACTTCATGACCTTAAAAGGCAGACCTGGGGGGCAGAAGAGAATGTTGCCACTGCTGGCTGGAGAGCCCCTCCAGCTGCATCCCCGCCGTTGGCTTGGCCATCCTGTCCCTGCAGCTGTGCCGAAAGCCAGAGCAGCCAGGGCAGGCTGCTCCCCTCAGGACGTGGGGGGCGTGGGCTCCAGGAACAAGCAGCCAGCCTCCCTCTGGTTTTCATTTAGAACCGGAGCTGGACCCACTTCAGGCTCTTTTCACCAAAAGGGGCAGAGAAAGCAAGGAGGGCAAAAACCACAGCCTCATTTATTGAGCACCAACTATGTGCCAGGCCCTGTGTGTGCACAGTGGGTGCTGTGCAGCATCTCCATTCTTTAGGCTTCATACCAGCCTGGAAGGGACAAAGAGAGGCCTCAGTATCCCATTTTACAGATGAGAGAATTGGCAGGTACTGAGAAACACACACATTAACAAGTGTCAGCACTGTGACAGAGCCTGCTGTCAACTCTAACCTCTTAACCTGAGTAGCTGGCTGGGGCCATTGGGGAACCCTCTACCCTATGACCAGCTGTTCTCACCAGCCCACCAAGTGTCAGCCCATTGGGTGCCCTGTCATGCTGTGTGACCCTGTGCAACTGTTCCACCTCCCTGAGCCTCTCTCTGCCCCTGCACGTCAGCAGCTGGGGTGTGTGATGAGACAAGGACGGCCCAGGCCAGTAGGGTCCTCACCCCTCCATTCCTCAGTTGCAGCCTCCTCTGGCCTCGTGGAGCCCGTGTGGTCGGCCAACACCATGCGGCGGATGGCACTCCGGCCCACAGCTTTCTCAGGTGGGTCCTGAGCAACTTGTTGGTGACTTCCTGGGATGGGGTAGACCTGGAGGAACGCAGTAAGTCCATTGCCTAAGATCCAGCTGGGCCCAGCAGTGGAGCATCTTGTACAGCACCCCACGCTTTCTACTGGAAAGAGCTGGAAAGGAAGGACCCCCAAAAGGGAGGCTGACCTGGGCTCAAGCATCCCAAGACCCATGACCCCTGATCTTTTGCTGATGCAGGTCAAAGCCCTAAATTTTGTCTTTTTATGTAAATTCTGCTTTCCTGAGTACCTACAATGTGTCTGGCTCCAGCCTGGTGCTTTCTACCACCAGCTCATTCAACTTCTCAGCTGTCTATCCACCCCCAGCCGAGGCTTCCTAAACCCCATTTCAGAGAAGAGGAAACTGAGGGTCAGAAAAGAGACATGCTGGCCTGGGAGATGGTTCAGTGGAATAAGCACTTCCCTGGCAAGTGCAAGGGCCTGAGTTCAATCCCCAGTTCCTCAAGAAAAGAGACATGCTTTGCCCGGCCCTTCCTTGTCCTACCCTGCTTTGCCCTCCCCCAGGACCTGAGTCAAGTGGGGACAGCATGAGGATGGCTCGATTGTGGGGCCCTTGTGAGACACTGCTGTGCATTTCCAGTGAGCCCAGGCTCCTCAGGCATGAGCCCAGGGGTGATGCTCCAGAGTCCAGCTTCTGGAGGTACCTCGCTTGGCCAGAACTGTCATCAGTGTGTCAGGGGTGTTGCCAAGGAGGTCAAGGTGCTGGGCTATTCTTGTGTTAGGATCAGAGGGTGGCCTGCCCCATCCAGGATGGTCCCCAGAGCTGGCAGCTCCAGGCTCCATCCCTACTCATCAGAAGCAAGATTTCCTACCCTGGCTTCTGGGAAATGGATCACTTTAGACATGCAGGGGTGCTGGATTCTGCTGTAGGACAAAGAAGTCCACTGTGAAGGCTTTGGAATGGAAGAAACGCACAGGGCGTGGTACTCCCTTAGCCTGAGGTGCTTCTGCAGCCCAGCCCTGCATTCAACTCCTTCCTGGGTTGGGGTCATTCTACATCCATCTACACCCTCCACCCCCACTGCCAGGGCTCTGGGGGGCACCCAGGGACCAAGATTCCTCCATCCCACAGGTTGTCTCAACTGCAGCAAAGTGACAGAGCTGGCTGAGCGGCTAAAAGCACTAGAGGCCAAGGTGGGTGAGCAGCTGCCCTGGTCCCCTCCCCTCAGGCCCCATGGCACCTCCTATCCCTTCCTGCACCCCCATGCTCAGCCATTCTTATTCCCACAGTGCAGCTCTGAGCTGCCGTACTCACTGCCCCAGGGACGCCGTGGACCTGACTGGCAGTTTCCCAGGCAGCCAGGTTCCTGCCTCCTGCTGGTTCCTGACCAGCTCTCTTCAGCCTGTCATCCAGTGCCACACTTAAGAAACCCTCTCAGTCAGATGGCCTGGCCTGTTCATCCTCCAGAAACCAAGCTACTCCCTCCTGTGTGGCCAGGCCCAGCCGAATGCGTGCACACTCCCCAGAGCTTATTGCTTGGTCCCCTCTTTGTCACCTCCCCTGTACTAGTACCATCTACTGATTTCAAAAGTGAATTTGAGAGCCAAGGGCCAGCGCAAGGGCCTGAGTTCAATCCCCGGTTCTGAAAAAAAAAAAAAAAAAAAGTGAATTTGAGGGTCAGCCAGATAGCTCAGCAGACTAAAGCACCTGCTTAGGTAGAGCGCAGCAGCCAGGGTTCCATCCTCAACATGCCATATCAGCCCTGCCCCTAAGGCACATCGAGATGGCAATTGAGACTGGCCGTGGTGGCACGCGCCTGTAATCCCAGCGCTTGGGAGGCTGAAACCAGAAGAATTACTACGAGTCCGATCTACATAGTGAGACATAGATCGTAGATCAGATGTAGGCCCTGTACCAAATACATTAAAAAAGTGAATCTGTTATATATTTGATATCATTTCAAGATTAAAAGGTTTATAAATTGTAAAATACAACAGTATGCAAAGACTCTAAACATGGGAACTTGAAAAATTCAGAAATGTGGAAAACCTGCCAGATTGCCATTTGCAGCAGGTGTCTGTGCCCCCAGACAGGGTGATTGTCACCTTTTGTTTTCTTTTTTTTTTTTTTTTCCTTCCTGAGCCCATGTCTTGCTCTGTTACATAAGTTTGTAACTCCTGGACTTAGGCCACTCCTCCTGCCTCAGCCTCACAAGTACCTAGGACTACAGGCATTTGCTGTCACCTTTCAGTCGTCTTTTTCTTTCATATTTTTCAAACATACAAATAGACATGTATGTTATCTATGTATATTTTGTTCCACTATTCCCTACTCTATTTCATTTCCCTTCAAATTTAGCAAAAATCTTAGAAGTAGAGGAGGCCCTGGATTCAATCCCCAACACACATACACCCAGAGAGAGGGGGTTGGAGGGAGAGACAGAGACAGAGAATCCTGTGGAGCTTTACTAAACCAAGAAAAACACTATATTATTTATGGGATAAGTATAGCAAAAATATGAAGCCAACAAACACCTCCAAGAACAGCCAGCTGGCATTGATGATATGTAATGACTTTTCTACAGTGTCTGTAATGTGTGAATTATACAAATTTGCAAAACATAGTCACTTCTCAGGGCTGCAGATATAGCTAAGCAGTGGAGTACTTGCTTAGCATGTTCGAGGTCATGGGATCTTTGGGGGAGGGCCGCACACTTCTGATGAAATTTCTGGGCCGTGCAGCCCAGGTCTCCACTTCCAGCTGGGCTCTACTAGCACCGTGGGCTTTGCACCACCTACACCAGGGCCACTTTGCCGGCCTGTCTCTGATGAGTCCCTGGCACCCATTATCCTGTCTTCCTCTTCCTCCACAGGTGGCTGTACTGACTGTTACCGAGCAGGCAATGCCCCCAACCCTACCTACCCCTGAAGACCCTGCCCCACTCTGGGGCTTCCCGGCTGCCCATGGCAGCCCTGGAGATAGAGGCCTCCAGGGTGAGTGGATCAGGTGGGAATCACTCCCATGTGGGAATCAGGGCAGTAAGAATCTGGTCCCCATTCTGTGAATTACCTGCCCTACCCAAGGCCTCAGTCTTCTCATCTCTCCAGTAAACCTGAGAGAACAGTCTTGGGCTTCTGAGTCCTGGAGTCTTGAGAGGCCAATCAGCCCCAGTAGACCCTGACAGTGTGGAGCTGCAGAAGTGGTCTCTGGGTGACTCGCCCCTCCTCCAGTCCCCAAGGGACATGACCCTTTCATACCCCCTCACCCCAGGGCTACCAGGAGTCAGAGAGACTGCAAGGGCCCCACTGCTCCCTCGAGATGGTAGGTGCTGGCTGAGGGGTTGGGGTGCGGGTCTAAATAAAGTCCAGATCTGCCAACCTCATGTTCTTTACCTTAGACCGAGTGGGTATGCGGGGGCTGCCTGGCCCCACCGGCCCCAAGGGAGATGCAGGCAGCCAGGGCCCAGCAGGAATGAGAGGCCCGCCTGGTGAGTGCCCAGAATGATGCCCATTCCCCCAGCTTCCTTGGCTATCTGCCCAGCCACGTGGACCCAGGCAGGGACCTCCCAACCCTGTCATAGCCAGGTGACCAGGCCCCTTTCACCCAATGACCTCTCTGCTCTCCACTCTCTGGATTGCCCCACTTACTGCTGGACTCCCTAAAGCCCTCAGCTCATGTTCATTGGCCCACTATGCTCAGCGGGCTTTGAGCTGGATACTGGGGGTTGGGAGTCAGCCCAGTCCTTGCCCACAGGGAGCTCCCAGACCAATGGGAAGAAACCCAGGTAGAAGAGAAACACCAACCCCCTTCTGTGACCAGGGTTCCTATGGTAGGTGATGGTGGGATTGGGGCCCTGAGAACCCAGAGCAGTGTGGATGACTCAAAGGACAGGATTCTGTATTTGTGCTCCTCATGGACAGGTCTGAGCTGTAGACTTCAGACCCTAGTCTCATGCCCAGTGGCCCAGGCTGCCTTATCCTGCCTCCTATATACTCCCAACTCCTGGGATTTCATTGCAGGTCCACAGGGTCCACCAGGAAGCCCTGGCCAGACTGGAGCCACAGGCATTCCAGGAGAGAGGGGACCTCCAGGTCCACCAGGGCCTCCGGGCCCTCCAGGACCCCCAGCCCCTATTGGGCCACCTTATGCCCAGATCTCCCAACATGGTGAGTCCCTGCAGGGTGTTGGCAGAAGTGGGGGTGGGGGTAGGGATGGGGGAGACCAGAGTACCAATCACCATTGTGCCTGCTACCGTATAACAAGTACCTTCTGTACACCAGCTGTGTCCAGTGTAGAGTACGTGTCACCCAAATATCCAGTAGACGTTGTTCTTTGTTCACAGATGAGGGACACTGAGGGCCAGAGAGAGGAGATCACTTGGTTCAGTCATCCAGCTAGAAGGTGTGGTGGGGGAGTGGCTTCAGATACACATGCTCAGAACTGTCAGGCATCAGCCCCTCCCCAAGCTTGGAGCTGCAGAAATTCAGCCCTTAGAGTGATAGGAAGCTCAAGTCCTGGCAGCAAGAAGTGAACTCCAAGCAGTCAAGGCCACAGCCCAATCTCTGGGCTCACAGAGGCCCCAGTTCCTCCAAGCTGGGCCCTGATGTGCACCTCTGGCCTTCTTCCTGTGCTGCCAGGGATCACAGCATGGAGTGCCGGGTTCACCTCCATCTGTATCAGGTCTTTGGTATATGAATGGGTACCATTCATTTTCTCGTTCTCCCATCCCACCATACATTCCATCGCACTAATTCTCCTGCCATCATTTCTACAATGGGAACAGTGATGATGCCAGCCTCCCAGAGCTCTGTGATAGAACTTAACGATAGATGGTCATTAAGTGGTAGCTTTCATTATTTCACTTGACAGACAACATACAGGTTCAGTAAAGCGGAGAGAGGCTTTCTGAAAGTCACTGGCTAGAATGCAGTGGGATCAGAACCCAGGCTACCCTGCCTTCTGATCGTGCATGGCTAACAGTCTCCCTACTCTCCATCCTAGGGTGCCGTCCATGCTGGCGGTTGCCCATAGGACAGTTGAGGCTGACTTTGCCGAGGTGGCAGGTGAGCACTGCTGTACCCTGCCCAACTCTGTTCACTCACTATCTTTTCTCTTGCAGGGGACTCGTTACTGTCTAACACCTTCACTGAGGCCAGCAGCCACTGGCCTCTGGGACCCACTGGGTCCCCAGGTCCCCCTGGCCCTCCAGGACCCATGGGTAAGTCAAGACCAGGCTTGGTGTGAAGGATGGAATTGGTAGATTGCAGAAGTAGTCCTGTGGCTTTCAGAGGCTGCTGGCAATGTACTCATTTTCAGTCCTGGACATCCTGTCTTATTCCAGGTCCCCCTGGACCTCCTGGCCCCACAGGGGTACCTGGGAGTCCGGGACACATGGTAAGTCATTCTCCAAGTGCTCCTACCCTGTTTCTATCCATTCATTCTTCATTTGACTCATTCATTCAGTAAATATTTATTGAGTGCCCGCTTCAGCAGCACATATACTAAATATGTATTGAGCATTTGATACACAAACCACTTTCCATACATTTGCTCCTTCAGTTCATGTAACAAGAAGCATTATTATTGCCTGAGATCAAGAGAAGGGGAAATTTTGTCCTGAGGATGTGGCCACAGGACAAAATATCTGTGGATTGGGTAGGAACTGTCTGGCCCAGTGTCCCGTTCTCTTAACACTGAGCTGTATGAACTGCCCACTGTGTGCTGGGCATTAGGTATACGACAGCCAGGCCAAGCTGAGACTCTCGCCATCCCCTCTGCCTCCAATCTCCTGCCCAGTCCATCGTACCCCATCACAAGGCTAAGGCCCTGTCTTGTTGCCCAGGGACCCCCAGGCCCTACTGGACCCAAAGGAATCCCAGGCCACCCAGGACAAAAGGGCGAAAGAGTGAGTACCCAAATAAGGGGTTGTGGGGAGTCTCAGGGGCCCTAAGTCAGAAGTCCCAACAGCTAACTTCATTCCTTTCTTCCTCACACAAAGGGAGCACGTGGGGAGCCTGGCCCCCAAGGCCTCACAGGGCAGCAGGTAAGTGATGATATCCACCTTATAACAACCTCTTAAGGGTGCCACAGACCCAGACCCCACCCTGGTTCCACACAACACAGCCAGAACCTCTAGCCCTGCTCTGTGGTCCAGGGCACTTCTGTTCTATCAGCAACTCCCCTGGCCTCTCATCTTCTTGGGGTCAGGCTGCCTCCATCTCTGTCTCTCTGGCTAACCGTAGCTCTATATTTCTTTTGCTCTCTTTCCCCTCCATGTCTCTTTTTGACACTGTGGTTCTCTTTTTCTCTCCACCTTTATAACTCTAATATATTTTTCCACTTCTCCTTTTGCTGTGATCAATTTTTACTTTATAGTTTTTGAACCTTTGCTACTAGGCACATACATGTTTAGGGTTTCAATGTGTTCTTGGATTTTTAAAATTTCATTTAAAAAAGGTAAAACAAAATGTTATAACGAGATGGTAGGAGAATAACAATAGTTAATACATTGCATGTTATCTTGAAAGTAGTTATTCCAAGTGTAAGATACAAGCACAAAAAAATTCTCCAATTGATATGAGCACAAGCCTTCCATTTCTGTGAACTAAGAGATAGTCATAGTATAACTTGCGTTCTTTTCTTCCTTTTCCCTTATTTCCTTTCCTCTTTCCCTCATCCTAGTTCCTATTTCCTTTTACACAATTTCTTTCCGTATGAGTCTGATTTATTTCACTTATGGTCTCAAGTTGTGTCCACCTACCCATAAAAGTCTCAAGTTTGGGGGCCAGGGAGATGGCTCAGTGGAATAAGCGTTTCCCTGGCAAGTGCAGGGGCCTGAGTTCAATCCCTGGTTCCGTCAAATTAAAACAAAACAAAACAAAAAAGTCTTAAGTTTATGCTTCTTTATGGCTTCTTTATGGCATTCTCCATTGCATGAAAATGCCACATCTTTTTTATCCATTTCTCCACTGATGGGCATTTGGGTTGTTTCCAGGATTTAGCTATTACAAATTGTACTGCTACAAACATGGGTGAACGTATATTGCTGTGGTACAATATTTTTAATTCTTCAGAAACATACTCAGAAGGGGAATAACTGGGTCAAATGGGACCTCTTATCCTAACTTTTTAAGGAATCTCCACACTGATTTCCACAGTGGTTGCACCAATCTACTTTCCCACCAACAATGGAGAAGGGTTCCTTTTTCCCCAAAATCCCCACCAGCATTTGTTTTGGTTAGTTTCTTGATGATAGCTATTCTTTCTGGAGTGAGATGGAATCTCAGTGTTGTTGTAATTTGCATTTGTCAAATGACCAATGATGTTGAAATATATATATATATATATATATATATATATATATATATATATATTTTGTACTTATCTGAGAAGTGTGAATTCTCATATGCTTACACGTGTGTGTGTGTGTGTGTGTGTGTGCGCGCGCGCGCCGAGGACTGAATCCAGGGCTTCCACCTTGCTAGGCAAACATTCTACTGCTGAGTCAAATTCCCAGCCCCTCAGATGCTCACTGTTGGATTGGGTCTTTGAGTTTGGGCGGTGGGGGGGGGGGATCTGATTTTTTTTTCCTTTTTTAAATATTTTCTGGATGCAAATCCTTTGTCTGAGAGACAGTTGGCTAAAAATTTTTCCCACTCAGTGGGTTGTATTTTCACTCTGTTGGTAATTTTTTTTTTCTGTGCAAAAGTTCTTTAATAAGATGAAATCCAAGCTGTTAATTCTTTGAAGTATTTCCCCTGAAATTTGGGTTTTGTTCATGAACTCCCTCCTACACTTATGTCTTTAAAATTTCTACCTACTTTCTCTTCTAGCAGATTTAGTGTTTCTGTTTTAATATTTAGATCTTTGATCCATTTGACTTTAGTTTAGTGCATGGTGATAGACACAAGTCTAGTTTTAGTCATTGTTAGGTAGAGAGCCAGTTTTTCCAGCACAGTTTATTACAGAGGCTTTCTTCCAGTGAATATGTTTGGCCCCTTTGTCAAGGATAAGATGGCTGAGTGTATTTGTAGGTGTGTCTGCATCTTCTATTCTGTTCCACTGTTCCTCAGGCTTTTTATCTTTGTGGAATTAATATCTCTATTGCTGGCAGTACTGCCTGTCTGTAATTCTGCTTTGTTCACTACTATAGTAGCCACACTGGTGTTCTCACACTTGGCAATTGCATGGTATACCTTTTTTGTCGTTATTTCTTTCAATGTTGCAGTGCTTTTAAATTGAAAATGCTTCTCTGGCAAGCAGAATACGACTTCAGTCTTTCTCTTTTCACTCTGAACATTTGAAA